CCTTAACAGCGGAGAATAATGCTTAACTCAAATAACGCAACTTAATTGTATTCTGGTTGGTCTTCCGTACTTTATAATGACAGTCCGATTATAAACACAAAATTACATTTCTTAATTACTACGGATCTTCTTATTCGTCAAAACGATACAATTTACAACGCGCTAAAAAAGATCTATCTCATAAGGACATTTACGAAACTGAATGCGGCTTTTAACTAATTTTATATTTTAACAACTTAAATGTAAAAATGTATTATAATTAAAGAAATAACAAATAATTGTATTAATAATTCATATTTCATCGAAAAATTTTTTGCTTTTACAAAATAGTGTCCATATTCATAAAAACAACTAAAAGCAAATAAAAGCATTTGAAATTAAAAATATTTTTGTTTTATTTTTATTATGTTTTGTATGTTACAATTCAGAGCTGATTTTCAGGTAGGGGGGAGTCCAATTAAAAAAAAACATGATTTGCATTCCTCAAAGCCTTGTGATTTTAACTAATATAATCACTAAAGTGAATGCGACTGAATTTCTAGAGTTTTCATAAATTAGCTATGGGGGGTAATAAATATAAAAAAAATATTTCGGCCATGACTTTAATAATAAAAAAATATTTATAATAATTTCCATCATCTGAAAGTTTCATTAACATCCGATAATTATTTTTATTTTTAAAAGATTTTCCAAATTAATGTCTGTCATACAAAAAAAAACGTGCTGAAAATTTGTTATTTTCCTAGTTCTCATGGACGTACCTAAAACGGCAGCGCTATAGTGATCATGGACAAAATATAAAAAAAACAAAAATAAATAAAACAAAAATTCTAGAAATACTAGAGGATAAGAACAACTACAAATTAATCGACATCAACATAAATAAAAATATATAAATAATTACAAAACTCTTCACGACACATAAAATATTAACAAAAAAAAGAAAAGGATTTCCTAATAAACTTTGCACCAAAAAATAAGCAATTTCTACGGGCTACCAAAAATTCGGTCTCCTTACTACCGGTCAGATGCAGCAGCCAGCGAACTGCCAACCCTGTACACTCATAACGGAATTTCGCAGCCACTGATTAGTCAGATCAGCAAAAAGTTAAGACAGTTCAATCATTATGGCTTTGAAAGAAAGAACCGGTGAATCATATCCTAAACAAGAAAAGAGGGATAATCCTCTACTGCTGATCAATAAACATGGAAGGAGTGACACGCATATATATATATATATATATATATATATATATATATATATATATATATATATATATATATATAAAAAAAAAGAAAGAACAGATTAAGATATGTAATAATGGTGTTCTTATAGATATTTTTTATTTTTACAAAATAGTGCTCAATGTAAATTTACAGAGCATTAATATTTTAAATTAACTGATTTAAAATATGGTTTATATATATATATATATATATATATATATATATATATATATATATATATATATATATATATATATATGAATGTGCACAAAAAAGCTATTCCTAAGATTTCAAATACATTTTAAAGATTTTTCATAAAGATTTTATTTTAGTTTTAATTCCAAGATTAAATTTAATATTTACAATAAAATACTTTGTTCTTTGTTGTATTAGAAACCGAATTTAAATTGATTGGAATCGTTTTTTTTATTATTATTAAAAATTAGAAAATCTTTAAAAAATTTTTTTTTTTAAAATTTGAGACACATTAGCTGTTTTAAAGTTTAATTAATCTGATTTGAAACAAATATTACTTTTTTAAAAATATCCCAGAAAAGCATTTTTATCACAAATGTCGGTGTTTTATGCGGTGTTGACAATATCGACGGCCAAATGTTTTGGAAATTTAAGTAAGGTGGTGAGATAATGGAAATAAAATTAAAATTAAAAATGACGAATACCAGGTAAACTAAACTCTGTCTCTCTCTCTCTCTCTCTCTCTATATATATATATATATATATATATATAAAAGGCAGGATGTGTATGTGTATGTGTGTGTGTGTGTGTGTGTGTGTGTGTAACGAATGCACGGCCGCAATTTTCGACGGATTTGCACCAAAATTTACATGCACCTGCTCCAAGTTAATGGGAAGGCCACGACCGATTTTACATTTCCCAACTTCCATCGATAGTGGAAATAATCGATTTTTTCATGCTTCTACAGCAGTTTTCAAGTAGTTTGCGGCCATTTTCTACTGGCCAGAGTGAGAGCCAATAGCTGTCTGCCACGAATAGGCTGGACGATTCTATTGGCCAGCGTGAGAGCCAACAGCTGACTGACACGAATGTTAACTAGCATGCTAGAATGCAAAAAAATCGATAGCTGCATTCGTCACAAGTGGGAAAAATTTAAATCTGCATGGCACTTTACTCCAATTGGCTCATTCGCTTGCTTAAACTCAACGTTGATTCTGATTCCGCAGAACTGGGTTGGGTGTGAAAAAATATTTCTTGTTAACATTCTTTTTTCATTCGAGTCCTTTTTTAAAGTTGATCGTTTTTTGTTCATTTTGTTTAGTTCTTTTTTCGTAACAGATTTAATGTTTAGTATAGAGCTTAGAAAAAAAAATTCGCAGTGTGAGATAGGCAAGAAAAGGCATGTAGCAACATCAGCACGGCAAAAAGGGCACTCCTTTAAAGGCAAGGAAGGGCAAAAATATTTTAAGTCAAGTGATAGCGATTGCTGTATGTCGTACGATTTTTGAATCAAGCACGGGCAACGCTGGGCCATATAACTACTCAGTAAACTTAAAAATATTAAATATTTTAAGCATTTTAATATTTTATTAAAATAAATTTTAGGAACTTTGGTTTTATAGTTTTACTTACGAAAACGCTTGTTGAGAAAATGTTAGAAAATTAATTACTATTTAGTTACCGCTCTTATTTTCTGATAATGTCATTTATGGACATCAGTAATTATAAAAATCGGCCTGTTTATACTATAAACAGGCCGATTTTTAAATTATTTTTGCGTGTGTATAAAATTTATACACACGCAAAAATAATTTAAACTTGTAGTAAGCTTTTCAATTTACAGTTTTTATTTAATAGCAATATCACTTCACTGCTACAAATTTATACAGAATTTTAAAAGTTTATAATTTATTCTAATCAAATTTTAAAGAAATGAAAACAATTCTTGTACTGCAAAGATGCATCAATTCATCGATTTTTTTTCTTGAGACAATAGTGTCCATAATTTATTTATTCATAAAAGCAATTATTAAAGCCATTTCTAATATCTTAGTTTCATTGCATTTTTATTTTACGATTCAAAGTAGATTTTCTGTGACTGGGGGTCCTGTTTGAGAAAAAAAAATATAATTAATTAATTAATTAATTTAAATTCTGTGATGACTTAACTAAATTAATAATATATAAATGTGCTTTTCACTGAAAAACGCTCAATTTCCCCAATTTGACGCGAGAATTGAAGCACTTGAAAAAATTGAAAATTTTTATTTTACTTCCTTTCGAAATAGAGTTTTCAACAATCTCATAAATTTGAGGATAGATACTCTGTGCTGCTTATAAGAATTGGAATTTCATCAGTCATTTATTCTAAATGATCAAACTAAATAAATCTTGTTTACAAACCAGTCAGAAAATATATAAATACTGCGGTTGACAATAATCTGAACCTTTTACAGACTGAAGCCAACAAAGACAAATAGATATAGAATCTAGTTCTATTTTTCAGTCAATGGATTGTTTTCTTAGGTTTTCTTTTTTTATTGAAACCGATTTATTCACTTGCGTATTTTTCACAGTTTCAAATCTATCTTTGCTAAGAACTCCAAACTTGAAAGTTGAAACAGTTCATTCTTTAAGTCAAAAGAGTAGATGAAATTCTTCAACAACTCTTTGTTTGAAGGCCTCAAAAATGAACATTTTTGTCTTATCATCATGTTACACATGGTAGGGCACTTGAATTTCGCGTTTTGGGAGTTTTTATTAGTCCACTAAGAAATGGTTTTACTTCAAATTGAAAAAAAATAAATGATTTTTTGTAGTAATAAATAAATATGAAAAATTAAAACCTACAGAAAAATTCGTGGGTGGGAGCGTTGCTTCAGATCGCGTTTAATGGTTTGCTTTAGTCAAATAAATACATATTACTCCATTTTTTTTCTATTCATAAAGAAATAAGAAGAATTTTATCTGAAAAAAAAAATAATTGTAATAAAATTCCTTTTAACCAGATTGCATGATTTACTTTCATCTTCTCTACCTTTTTTTCGTTCACTCCTTAAATATTTTCTTCTTAATAAATAAAGTAAGTTTATAAAATAAAATATTGTTTATTTTTACTCCTTAAAAAAGCAAGAAAATATTCTCACAAAAATGACAAAAAATTATGATTTTCAAACAACTTGGCCGGCTAAATTTCTTTTATTTTTTAAAGTCAGCTTAGAAATTATAGTTTTGCTTCCAAACAAAAGAAATGAAATCAAAGTGTTTCTTTTATCCAGGTCGTTTGAATGTATTGTTTGACAAAGTGAATTCATCGTCTGCTGCTTAACAATAGAAGCAAAATAAATATATTTTTCAAATTGTGAGAAAAACTCCGGAAAACAGATTAACAGAGTGTGCCTTATTAAAGGGAACAGAAGAAGAAAAAAAAAAAGAAGAAATGAAAAATGAGTGAATAATAAATCAATAAAAATGTGTGAATTTAACAGAAATAATACACTGTGAATTCTGTTAAAATTTTTAGGAACGACATGAAGTTAGCCTTTTCAAGGTACGGTCCCATTGTTGCAGCGGGCCGAGAGGTGTGAGTGCCAATCGACCGTACAACTAAAAAGGGGACACACAAGGGCAAGGAGATGGCAATAGCAAAGAAGGATGACAAACACAGATGGTCCGTTGTAGACGATGGAAATCGTGTCTTTATTCGCAAACGGTTGATGGTAAGCAGACAGAGGTCGTTTGAACGGTGTCCGGACGATAACGGGCGCTAGACGTCAGTGGGCACTGGATAAGGTCGTCAGCGGGTGCTGGAATAGTCGCGGGACGTCAGTAGAGCGCCGCAGGGGTGAGCTGGAGACTGCTGGAAGCTGCAGGAACGCTGGGAGGTGCAGGAGTGAGCTGGAAGCTGCAGGAGTGAGCTGGAAGCTGCAGGAGCGCTGGAAGGTGCAGGAGTGAGCTGTGTTGAGCCTCGAAGAGTGGTGATCGAATGACATTCGGAAGTTAGCCCTGAAAAGGACTGTTTGAACAACTGCTGCTGGGTCCCGACAGCTGCTGGGCTTGGTCGACTTGACTGGGAGCGTCAAAGTCGCGAATAGGGAGGCTTCCTGCTCCCCCAGGCCGGTGGTATTTACTTGACTCCCACGAGGTCAAGATGTGACACAAGGTAGGCCGGTTAAAAACCGCCGCGAAGTCTCCGGGATATAGGTATGACGGTTCATACAAGAGAAAGCGGTGACGCTAAACAAGTAAATGAATAGTAATTAATTCCGGGCCGTATTAATTACAGTCAAAGGTGTGTTCGGAGTTTGTTGACTGTATTTACATTAACTTCGTTTCGGAATTAAAGGTCTTTTATTTTTGTTTAGTGGCGAAAATTGAGTTTTGTGTGTTTCTGAAGGTTTGAAAGGATGTCGTTGCTATTTTTAGCACACAACGACCGTGACCTTTCTCTATCAGCAGGCATAGCCGGGGTTGTTTAAGAAACGGATGGGAGTGGTGTTTGGGCACACTGCGACACCATCACTAGCCATCTTTGTTCTTTTTAATGAAAAGCCACAGTTTTGCAGAGTAAGTACTCCTATAAATATTCCTAATTGTTACACATGACTAAATCCTTCTTAAATGTGTATTATATGTGGAAAGGAGTGAATCCTTATTACACTGTATGATTCAAAATGGAGAAATGTTGTCACGCGCTTTGCCCAAAGCAGTTAGGAATCGGCAGATGTACGAGGGGAATTGACTTTTGGGAAGGATCATTAAATTCCTCTCAAGAATCAAATAAGCTTCAACTAGACCTGAGATCTCCATTAGATGCCGTTGCTATGTATTACTTACCGTATTTGATGTCATATAAAACATCTCCCTCTCTCCACAAGATGACTCAAATATATCTCCAAGTGGTTAGGCTAATATTTACGCAAATACTGGAGACTACGAGTACTTGCAAGTAAAATATAATGTTAAATGGGCGAGAATGCGTCTTTTCTGCTTTAAAATATTATACTTAGACTAATCGTGTGTGCATGTCTGTGTGTGCGTGTGTGCGCACGTGTGTGCGTGTGAATAAAAAAAAAAGGACTGAATACTTGTGTTTCATGCACAGGTTTGCTAAAGTCACAGAAATGTTCACTGTAAATGTGGACTCTCTTAGGGAGCTGAACACTTCTCTTCTAGGTAAAAAGAGGTTCATGACGAACACCATCGAGCCACAACATTCACATTAAAAAAAGAGAACAAAATCTTCAATTTGCAATAAAAAAACTCAATATTTTCTCTAAATATTTAATTGGCAATAGATGACCCTTAGATGAGAATCGAAATGTCATAACATAATTAAAATAATTTTTTTGAGAGGAGGAAAAGAGAGAACGTCCAATCTCTCATACCGAGTATTTTGAATGGTGCAAAAAAAATAAAATAAAAACAAGACTTTTACTCTGAGGTGAAATTTGAAAGAAATTTACATTTATTAAATGACATAAAAATAAAACTTACAAAATAAGCTTACGCAAAATTTTCTTTTGTTTGCCAAAATATTAGGCAAGATAACAAGTTGTAATTCTAATCAGAAAGTTGCTAGCTGCTCTAATAAACAGGTATAATGGGATACGAACGGCTACTCACCATATTAATTACAATTGTCTTGGGCTCAAAAACAATTATAATTATTATCAAAAAAATGTTCACTTACTTCGATTCATTCGACTTTCGCAAGGAGTTCAGAAGGTTGACAATTTACAGGCGTCGCTGGGTTTCTGTTTTGTTCAGACAATAGTTCAGTTTTACAAACTGAGATGAAATAAATCTTGTATTTTCATAAAAAGTGCAAAATCAGGGTCAATACCTATAATTTTGTGACAAACTTTCACAAACAACTATAGAAAGATAATCGTATATTTCTCTAGATTTGTAGAATTCTTCTTTTCTGCTTTTATTTCTTTTTCTTTTTTTTCAACTTCTTTCTTTTCATAGTGGAGTCACGGCGTCCATCATTTTTTCCTTTGTTCAGATCCCAGAACCAATTGACGTCTTCATTCTGGATGCCGAAACACTTATGTTTTGTAATTTCTTCTAAGTTCAATTCCCAGCAACTACTAACGACGTCCGCCCGTGAAAGCTAAATCCCCTCTGTTTGTCTGAAAAGTCAGACTTCTTAAATAGTCATAAATCGGCTCCGAATTCAATCAAAAGTATAATACTACAGGGGTTCGCAAATTACTTTACCCATTGGTTAAAATCACAAAATATATTTCTTTAAACTACGTCTGTTTGGAAACTTTATTTTGGCGCGTTTTCAGGTCATAAGACTTAAGAAGCCTCATTTTTACAAGTTTTAAAGCAAATTTTATACATCCATCTTTCATAAACCGTCATTTTGATGGGTTTTTTAAACATCAATTTGAGCCTCATATATACAAAGTTTTACACATCGAATTTTATTTAAGCCATTTTTAGTAACATCGACAGTTTTCTATTAAAAAACGTGTTAGCAACTTTCTTCTTATTTTTTTATTCACCCTTTAATTATTTTATATAATTTTATACTTCTTTATTTATTATATAAATTTTTATACAATATTCAGTATCAGAATATAATTAAAGTAACTTCTTGAAATATCTATTTAGTGCTATATGACTATTGTATAAGAGTTGATCTTTTAGAAACAGATTGCCAATGAAATTGAACAAAAATAGTTACAGAGTCGTTTGAACGTAAATAGTTTCAATTCTGCACCCACGCTGTCCCCCGTATATGTAATTGTTCTATGCTTCCTTTTTTTTTTTAACCTTTTCCCCAAAACAATTTTATTTTAAAATTACACACGTTAAGTTTATTTTGCAACTGCAAAATTTCTATTAACTTTTTTCAGTTCATTAAAATCTGTATTTTTAAGCACAAATCTCTTTCTTAGTCTACGATACAAGCCATCTGACAAATACACATTGTTGATAAGCACATTCTGTAAAAATGCTGGACAACTTAAGCTCCACGCCCAACAAAATATTTTACCACCAAAATAAACAAAGTTGTTTGCAGCTGAAAAAGCTCAACTCAAATGCGATCCAAAACTTTTGACTTTCGTTAATCAGTAATTCAAGTTGAAATTACTTCAAGCAAACAATTAAATTGAATCTTTTAAGCAATTTTCAAGTGAAATCTGGTGTCCACCTAAAATATATATTTTTGTTATATTCCATCCTGAGACTTGATTCTCCTTGAAAATTGCAATTTATATTCTTTTGTGGAGAAAGTTGTCAATAATTTATGTATTTGTGATTAGGCACTTTTATAAATAGTTAACTTATTTTAACAAAACTGGTGTTATACTGGCTTAGGTGTTTAAATGAACAGTTGATTTACCCATGCCAAGAAGATTAATGAAAGATGGTAATAACGAAGAAACACACGGGTAATTTTAACAAAACAAGATAAGGAATTTATTCACGAATTTACACGCTTGAAATTGTGTCAGTAACTCGTTTCAGGAAAATAAATCAGAAAGCCGTAGTTTTAACGAATTGCCATGATGAGGAAATGTTCATACAACAGGTTAAATGATCTGACACCAAATAATATAAAAAAATGTTTTTAAACAAAAGTAAGAGAATTCGTTACTCAAACAAGGGATATACGGTTGCATACTTTGTAAAGTAGACTATGGGAGATAGAAATACTTAGCTTTCTTGGATTATAGAGAAAATTCTTTGAAGTGTCGCGTGCTTGGTTAAAAGCTGGTAATATAATAAGCGAATATTTTTACACTGGTAAGAACTTCAACGCTGGTCGCGAGGAATTGAAACGTGACTTCAGACATTCTTATTTGATTAATTTAATTTTTCTGTTCATTTTATATCAAAAGACATTTCGTATAGGCTCGCCATTTTCTTTTCTTTCTTCTTCTTGGTTCAACGGCTAATTCATGTAAAGACAATGTTTTCACTGGTCCAAATACAAGTTCACATAGGCTCGCGAATTTATTCCCTCCTTCCTTTGAGCTCACTGGTCAATTTCTGTGAAGGCAAGGTTTTCATTAATTCAAAGAAAATTTCACATAGGTTCGCAAATTTCTTTCCGTCTTTTTCCTCAGTCCTTTGAAGAATTTGAAATGGGTGGGTAAAAGGAGTAATTATTATTTCGTACTCACTAGAGAGTAATGAAGAACTCTTGAATATCGAAATCGTTACACTGTTGTAACGGTGGGCTGGAGTCGTTTTTCTCAGTTCCATAAAATACAAAATGCAGTGTGGAGAACGGGAAAGGAAAAATAGAAAGGGGCGTAAGGCAAGGATATGTCTTTTCACAGGACTTATTCAACCTATACAGTGAGGCAATTCTGAGAGAATTGGAAATCCTACCAGGATTCAGCATTGGCGGCCACAATCTTAACAACATAAGATACGCAGATGACACAGTACTGATAGCAGACACGGAAAAGAAATTATAAAACCTCCTACAGAAGGTAGCGAAGGAGAGCAAGAAGAAGGATCTAAGCATAAACTATAAGAAGACAGAATGTATGGTCAGGAGTAAAAAGCCGAAATGCAACTTACAGGTCGGGGACACTAAAACCAAGCAGGTGCGGGAGTTTATCTAGGAAGTGTTTTCACGGAGGACGGTAAGTGCGACACTGAGATCCGAAGACGTATTCGGATGGTCAAGGGCGTATTCCAAAAGCTGCGCCGAGTATTGCGAGATAGGGGGATTTTTTTTTGGTAACAAAGAAAAGAGTACTGAGCTGCTACGTGACCTGTTCTCCTTTACGGTAGCGAATGTTGGACGGTCTCCTCAAAGTTGAAGAAGAGACTCGAAGCAACGGAGATATAGTTTTACAGAAGGATGTTAAGGATATCATGGAACGAGCGTATGAGCAACGATGAGGTGTTGAAGAGGATGCAAACAAGGAGGGAGCTTATACAACATCAGAAAGAGGCAGATGAAATTTCTGGGACACGTAATGAGAAAGGAAGGCCTGGGGAATCTGATACTCACAGGTCGAATAGAGGGAAAGAGAGACAAGGGAAAGCAACGCATGACATACCTGGTGGGCTTAAGCAAGTGGATGACAG